ATCATTGTGCTCTGTCATGCCTCACAGTGCCTTAGTTATCTGAATAATATAATCTATATGTATTGATACAAATCACAAAATTACACATGTAGACACTTTCATGGTATATCAATGGTTGTACTATCAAGCACATCCTTGTCAAGGCCATCTTTGTTCATGCAGTTCACACTGGTATGCAACTACCAGAAAACTTACAGACTACCCTGAACAATGTGTCAATGTACATCAATGTCTGATTCTACTGAGAACATAACTTGAATAGCCCTTATAAGTACTTCCAATCTATATATCACACTGTAATAATCACATGAGTTGCCACCACTTCTATGTTTTTCTGAAGCATTTACATCAGCCATTCTCTGTCAGCTATAAGGCTGCAATTTGATGATTCTATCGGTCCTTGGGGCTGTAGTGTCACACCATGGGAAAGGGCAGCTAGTTGTACTTGAAGCAGTGGAGGAGTCTAGAACATGTGAGCTTGGTTGTGTAGCCTGGCTCCATATAGTGTGAAATAGTTCAAATGGATCAATGAAGGGGATTATAAATAAAAGCTAAGATCAATTTGGAGTCACCTCAGAACTCAGTTTAGTCCTCTACTCACAGATATATCTTATTTTCCTTCTACTATAGCTACAGTGGCTGCCCATCTTGTTTTGAAGGAGAGAATAATACCAGTATGCAGAGCAAGTTCTATCATACTTTAGATTCCCATTGATAGCTGTCCAGGTGGAAAAGGAAAATCTCATAGAAACCATGTGTTGCCTTAAAGAGCTTGAAGCTCATTTAGCAAATGATTATGGCATGTCTGGAGATATCTGCTCAGTAGAAGTTTTCAGTGAGACTAAGGCTAGGGCATTTATCCAAAACGGTACCAGTTCTCTGTCAGTGGTGAACGACCTCTACATGCAGTATCAGCTCTGTGTCCTTGCTTTGTCTGCAGAACTGCTTCTCTCCCTGAATCCAGAAGATGTATGTGTTCCCTTTAAATAGTTGCTAACAGCTGCAGAGTTTAACAAATGTTTAGTCCCCAACACAACACATTAGCACCACTTGATTTTGCATCATAGTGATCAAAGCTGACAAGTTTTTTTTTGGATCCTATGCATGACTGCATACATGACTCTTGTATAGTGGGCAACAAGGGACACCCATACTATTGGAAGTAACCATTACTTGCAAGGAAAATACCTGGCCCAGGATTCAATGTGTCTGCGAACTTGAATTTAAATAGTGCAAATATGACCATATGTAGCACCAACCAGCGAGTTGCATATGGGCTGGTGTCTGTTCTTTTCTGTGGAGTTGTGCACACTAACATCTTCTTCACACTCTGTTTGATGTCTTCTGCTATGAGGAGGTATGGTGCTTGTGTTTAGGGCATGTTAACAGTGGATGCCAGTGGCGTTGGATCAGGGTTTCATCCCAAATTGATCTGGAGCAAAATGGGATTGTCTCATAGCCCACACACACCCAGTTTAGAGATCAAAGTAAAATTGATTCACTGCAGACCTAGCAGTAAGTAGTAATAATCAAGACTATATCTGCTCTGGGACTGCTGATTCTCAGACTCTGAATATAGTAGCCAATCAACATGATTCCTTTGCAATGGATGGGCATTCTCATCATCTGAGTAAATGCAAAGAATGTTTTATTTTCAATGGCCCTGTGTACACTCAGAAAAGATGATTGTCTTATGAAACCTATGGCAGCATCAGAAACAAATAGTCTATCAAGAAAGAGTAAAGATTATACAATAGATATTGTCTAGCAATATGCATGGAAAGTTGTCATAATAATCTGAGAACAAGAAGTCTTCTAATCTCAATCCCTTGTAGGACAATGAATGGTGCCATGAGCATTTATTCTCACATTGTCTGAATAGTTAGCAGAAAACTGTTGTGAAACACAAAGAACACATACATGCCTTTGGTCATCACATTTGAGTCAGTAATAATACTATGGCCAGCATTGTAGTAGTCTTATCCCTTCCAGATCAGACTGCATGCATATGTGGCCAATGTATCTGACACCAAAAAGAGTGAGATCTGAGCAAGAGATACTAAGATGTGAAGGATCTTAGGAGTTTGGAGGTTTGAGAGAGTGAGTATCTTGCTTGTAAGGGACGATTTCTGAAAGAGAGGAATAATAAATCAGGAGGGGTGACTGAAGATCTTTCAGATTATACCTTGGCTTGGCACAAAAAAGCTTAAGCTTGCATCAAACTTGCATTCTAGTTCTGCTACTGGTGAAACTAAATACACATATACCTACCTACTCAAAAAATACTAGGTCAGATCAACAAAACAAGTGTCTGAAAATGATTATGGCCAACTTATGGAAGACACATCCACCCTCAGAATAGCTGCCTGCTGATTTTATCAATTATCTGTGAGGGGTATCAGTATCTAGATAGGTTGGTGACTACAATGCAATACCTTGGTGTGTGTATTATCAGACCATAGTCAATCATCTGAGTGCCCTCCAAACCACTAAATGAAGCAGCTTTCCTATCACTGGATGATGGGCCTCCATAATAAGTGCTGGTCATTCACACTGAGGTTCTCATAAGAATATCACACCTAGATGAAAGTATAAAATGTGCTACCATTGGCACAAAGATGTTAAAGACAAGATGTCCTTGTCTCTCTAGTATTCATGATGAAAGAATATAGAAATCCTTAATGTCAAATGAGAAGACAAATAGAACAAGAAGTTAGAAGCACTTACAATACACACTTCTGGTAAGTGGCTACTTTGGAGCAGGCAAAAACCAAGGAAAATAGATGAATAGTATATAAAACTTTGACATAGGCTTTTAACCACAGTAAAATATGTCAAATTTCCCTTTGGTGGTAAAGCCAAAGGATTTGTTGGAGCTAAAGGAATCTATCCAGATTTCTTCTCTAGTTCAGTCATTTCTCTTACATTTTGATTGCCACCAGGAGTGACACATACTAGTAGCACCCTTGAAACAAGTGCCCAGTGTATTGAAACAATGCTCAGTAAGAGATGCAGTAGATAGTGAAATGAATGTAACAGCAGTAGTGGCACCTATAGCTGCTACTTTTCTACTTGAAAGGTGTCATTTGACAGATTAAATAAATGCATCAGAAGTGTCAGTAAACAGACCAGCTTATATAGGGTATTTTCACAGTACTCCATAGTCTATTAGTCAGTATAGAAACCTGAACCAAATCATGTGGTTATCAGAAAATCTAGCAGCTCTGGGAATTGAACCCAGGACCTTAAAAAGATTTACAATAATGTCACATGATGTAGCCAACGTGTGTATGCTAACCACTATACTATACTAGCATTATAAATTTATGTAATTATCTCTCTATATGGCCTCTCTCTCTTATATTTATAATATCCCAATTGGGCTCTCTCTTTGGTGCGCTTTTTTAAAAATTTATTGGGCTGGTCAAATCAGCCCATCAATTGCACTTAGAATTGGCTCTGCCACAGCATTGATGGCATTAATATCAGGTCATTTTCAGATAAAATTTACATTTTGGCTCATTTGAGGCTTCCTCAGGCTACTGGGTGAGTCAGGGGATGGTACTAGTATATGCATAAATATAAATAGCATAAAAGTTGAACTCTCTGGTGAGATATGAGGGCTCTAGAAAGGGGGTAAAAAGGGTAAAATAGTGAAAAATAATAGAAAATCACCAAAAATTCACATTTTATGGGTGCTACATGCATCGGATTGCTTCAAAAACCTAACCAATAAATTCTCTGACCTTGAAAATCCCTAAACGACTCCTGTACAGTGCATGCGGCATATTTTATAGCTAGGCATAATCAGGAAAATTGGTGAATCTTATGTTTTTTGGTCCAGGAATCCGAATCTGATAGTCTCCAGGCCATAGGATGACCAGAATATTCAAATCTGAGGGGTGCTCTTTCTTATTTTTAAAAAGATCTTCTTATATCTTTGCCAATACATTTCAGATCATCCTAAGCTTTTGCACACACCATTATACAATATATATCATGTATTTTATACCAGAATTACCCTCCCCAACATTCAGAAATGGGAGCTATATGGTATTTCACAGATTTTCACTATCACACTTTTCTCCATGTAATCTGAAGGTTTGTATTGTGCTCTTAGGGTGTTCTGGAGGTTTTCAAGGTCAAGGAATCCATTGGAAACAACTCTAAAGTTTTCCAAAGCTCAGAAATGCGAGTTTCCATGTGTGCTCCTCCTAAACTGTTACATCATTATTACTATTGTTCCTGAGACCCCATAAATGTAACCAAGTGTTGTTTAGAGGTTTTAAAGGTCGAGGAATTGATTGATGATGTCTCCAGACTGACGCAATGGCCAGAAAACAAAATAAACAGTATTTCCCTCTCAATCCTCTATTTTTTATTGCATTCTGGTGGTTATATATAACATATGCAGACATATTCTAGGGTCTTTATAGTGTGGAAATCAATTGGTAACATCCCTGAAGCGATCCAATATATGTAGCACTATAAAAAGCCAATTTTCCTGATTATGCCTAGCTATAAAATATGCCGCATGCACTGTACAGGAGTCGTTTAGGGATTTTCAAGGTCAGAGAATTTATTGGTTAGGTTTTTGAAGCAATCCGATGCATGTAGCACCCATAAAATGTGAATTTTTGGTGATTTTCTATTATTTTTCACTATTTTACCCTTTTTACCCCCTTTCTAGAGCCCTCATATCTCACCAGAGAGTTCAACTTTTATGCTATTTATATTTATGCATATACTAGTACCATCCCCTGACTCACCCAGTAGCCTGAGGAAGCCTCAAATGAGCCAAAATGTAAATTTTATCTGAAAATGACCTGATATTAATGCCATCAATGCTGTGGCAGAGCCAATTCTAAGTGCAATTGATGGGCTGATTTGACCAGCCCAATAAATTTTTAAAAAAGCGCACCAAAGAGAGAGCCCAATTGGGATATTATAAATATAAGAGAGAGAGGCCATATAGAGAGATAATTACATAAATTTATAATGCTAGCATAGTATAGTGGTTAGCATACACACGTTGGCTACATCATGTGACATTATTGTAAATCTTTTTAAGGTCCTGGGTTCAATTCCCAGAGCTGCTAGATTTTCTGATAACCACATGATTTGGTTCAGGTTTCTATACTGACTAATAGACTATGGAGTACTGTGAAAATACCCTATATAAGCTGGTCTGTTTACTGACACTTCTGATGTATTTATTTAATCTGTCAACTGACACCTTTCAAGTGGAAATCTAGCAGCCAAAGCTGGTAGTGGAATATGATCATGCAGCATGCTCAAAATCCCAAGTATGTGGTTCCCATCGCTGAATAAAGCCCTTATTTTATCAACCAGAGAGAGTATGTGTCACTCAGAGCAGGAGGTCAAGGTGTGAGTCTTTGAGAAATAGAGCCAGGGCATCTTCTTCAAGAGTATACTAGTAGTGGTAGAGTACAGGACAACCTGATTTGCAGCATATCCCATCTGTGATGTAACTTAAACTTGATGAGCAAGAAGCGGACCAGATTGGAGTGAAAATTTACCATTGCCCTCACGAGCCTGAGCCCTCTAGAGAAAAGGTTCATTTAGCCATCAAAGCTGCTCTCTAATATTGTCACTGAAAGCAAGTGCTGAGTTGACCAGCAGCAGATGCAATGGAATAGTGGATAGCAACCAGTTTTAGAGAACACATCAGATTAGCAGCTGGAGTCAAGAATTAGTAAAGCATAGCTATCATGACAGTAAGTGATCCTTGATATTCTGATAAGGAGAGTAAGCCCATACTGGCAATGATGATGAAATTCTTATATCTTTAATGTAGTCTTCACTCTAACTCCTAGAAGCCCCAAACAAGATTCTGAATTGACTGTATGCATGTCAGGGGCAACTATTCTGTGCTAAATGATAAGTGTTTCCAAGCATGGGGTCACTTTATCCACAGTTGAAAGTACTTATAAAGCCACTATGGGGTATTGTTTATAGAGGCTTGAAGACACAAAGGAGTAATTATTGTGAATTAGTGATAGCAAGTGATGCACTGAGGATCTATATATTTCTATATATTAAGAGGGGTAGCATCAAAGCTGACATAATAAGCAGACTTTAAAATTTCTGGCCATTGCCATCTCACAGACAAATCTGGCTGAGTTTCAATTTTGCTGCACTGCTGTCTCCACTGCCACCTCTCTGCAGTGACAAGCTTCAATTTTGCTGCCTTTGTCATACCTCTACCAATGTTCTACCCTCCCTGACATGTCTGGCAGCCTGAATTAATATAAATTTGATACATATCCACTGATTATACATGTTGTAGGCTACAGAGTATTGAGCAACAAGCCAATAACAAGCATCAAATAACAAATTAGCAGGTAGGATTAGAGGCCAGGAGATCATTTAAGGACAGGTAACACATATATATATACTGACTATGCTATAATTTGTTTATTATGAGGCTTTGACAAGGCTCAAACCTTCTTTCAGCAGTTAGAAATGGCAAGGAGACCATTTATGCAAGAATATGTGCTATACTCAGCCTTTCTCTGTCTGTGTAGAGCAATAAGCTGATGATATTATCTGTAAGAATATATGCTATGCTATGAGATGTAAGTAAAACAATAAATACAATAAATACAGAACAGCTCACCTCACTGCTCAGCCTTTCTCTGTCCATATAGAGCAACAAGCTGAGGTGATGAGTACAAATACAAAGTATATATACTACTTTAAAATCTGAGGAAGCAAGAAACATAAGTAGGGATGTGCACCATACCTGTAGTATAGTGGTTATGTATGATGTATATGGATATGGGTCTGTACTGTGGCTGACTTTAATGACCTAAAATACAGCCATATTCATATGGTTTGAATATGGTCATTGAGGGAGAGACAGATGACTATCTTATGCCATAAAGGTTAGTACCTATGATCTAAAAGAAGCCTAAACATAATAATTAAAACATGGAAATAAACTAATAATCATAATGTCCAAGAAGGGAACTGTGTTAGAATAATAACAGCTATAAGATGTAGTGTAAGAAACAAGTAGTTATGGATAATAGAAACAATATATGCACCTCAGTCAGTCACATATAGTCATAGTGAACAGCTGAGATGCAAAGAGGGATGAAACGAAAGGTATATGTGATGGTACCAGGAGTAACATTCTAAATATAGCAGGTAAGATCGAAGCAAGTAAGAACAAGTATCAGTTGGGGTAGGCTGAATCCTCAACAGATTGTTGCAATGACAAGCAAGAAGATGGGATAACAGCATGTGAGGTGTTCCAGAGGGCTTTGACTTCAATAATTCAGCTATGACATGCTTACCCAGTTACCATGTTATAAATGGCCATTGCCATACCACAGTGCAGGCCAGGTAAGTTTCAATTTTGCTGCCTCTACCAAGCCTCTACTCTCCTAACTGAGCTTCAACTGAGACTACTTATCCATGCTATAGTAACAATGTGAGTATCAAGCAATAAGCAATGATTGAGCAACAAGTTGACAATGAGCATTGAATGTCAATAGATGTAAGTCTTATAGAAATTATCAGAGTTCAAATGATGACTATAGCAGCCCACCATGTCAGATATCTGAGTCAAGGACATAAGAACCAGAATATCTCTCTCTCTCTTTCTTTCCTGCCAGTAATGACAGCTATTAGCAATAATCACCTAAATCATGGGAGTCCCTACCTGTCCATTACATGGCTTACAGAAGTAACAGAACAAAGCTTTATGGCACTCATGAAAACTATTTTGCTCCATTGCAGTGGCTCCAAGCAAACAACAGAGATTCAACAACATATCATAGTAATAAGCTGGGTTTGGGGTGGGCCCCAACAAGCTGAAGTCTTGTGTCACAGTCAGGTTGCCGGTGATGTGCTCGGTAACGGCGAGTGGCAAATGGACTAGTGGCTGGCAATGAACACCAACTAACACTAAACCTATCACAAACTCTACACTTATCACCAATGTATTGAATTCGGGCATTTCGAGTACGATAGAAGCACTCTGCAGACTTCAATAATCAAGGAAAGTTGTTTAAAGACTTTTTATTTGTTACTAGTGAGCTATACCAGTGTACTACTCGCACTAGCGGGGTTGGTAAGACATAATTGGGTGAATAGTGACTTGGTTTGAGCTACTGCGCTCGCTCTGACTGGGACTGCTTCGAACTAGTGGCTCTCTTGGCCCTACACTGCTTCCTACAAGTGATAAACACTTGACTAGTTGCACTCTGGGCTGACTAGTGGCACTCTTGGCCTAAGAATAATACTTTAAACTTCAAGAACTTGCTTGAACTAACTTCAAAACACTCTTGGCCTTTGCAGGACACTAAAGATTGCTCTAAGACACTTCAATTCACTCAATGCTATGGGTAACTTAGTGACTAGTAGCCACTTTGTCAAGGTTAAGCACAAAAGCCTTTAATTGGGGCACTAGATACTGACTAGTAGATCACAATTGCAGGGATGGCTTGCCTGAGCCACACGTGAGCCTATTCTACTACTTATATACTAACAATCAAGGTACAATTGAGATATAAATAACTAACTAGAGGGGTATTATTGATAAAGATTTCTTGGCTAGTCGTGAGTAATGGTGAATAATCACACAATAGTTGGTCTAGAAACGGTCATTTGCTGACTAGTGAGCCTAGGAGCTCCACTGATGAGCCTCCAGGCTCTGTACGCTCAGAATTTGCGGATTTTATGCATTAATTGCTGTCCCTGTCCACCCAACAGACTTTTAGTAAACCAAAGATTGCACACTCGCTCATACCACTTTCATGCTACGGCAACCACTCCTCACGTGCTTTGTTATCCATCCCATCTCGTTATGCATCATAATTGCCATATTCCTCACAGCAAGGTACCTTCGATCACAAATCATCCTAAAACGGAATTGTCGCATCACTTCCCATAGCCTCATGGAAGCATCAATCAAACACTTAATGAAATGACATGATTGCCGCGGCCACTCATCCATCCAAGATATTTCGAGCACACAGCAACTACAGACCGCATTTTACTAAGGCTGTTACCTCACCAAGACCTTGAAACAACATAGACCCAAGCATGCACCTCAGTATAAAAGCCATACCTCACCAGTCCGCAGCTAAACAGCACCTAATGATCCGTTCATCGCTCAATAAAACCATACGGCTCGCACCTATATGCGGCAACATCAACAAGTTGCTGTTACTTCAGAAGTCAAACGACCATATGTTTCCTACAGATTTTACTAAGCCACGGCCTTACAGCCTGACTAAGTCGCGCATGATTACTCTATTTATAATTTCGTACTTGTAGTATAAAAACTAGCTAGAAAAACATAGATAAGGAGTTCAGTTCATCTCTAGTTGACTAGTCTACATCAATTCTTGTCACATTCTAGTCTATTGCCAGTAACCATGTTTTTTCACCATTCTATGGCAATATACCGTTTACCCAGCATATTCTTGATTGCATGTCAACTCTTGAGCTCACCAGAGTTATTCCACGGTTTTTAACTGTGAAGAGTCTCTTGACATTTGCTCTTTGCTCTTAACACTATTGGTACATGCTCATATTGTGCCAATACGTGATCACCACGCTCTACCACATTCCTGTTATCTTTTATAGGCCATCATCGTTTCACTTTCACACCATTGGAGTTTTTACAGTTTCTCTTTCACCATCGTTATCATTGCCCACTTGGGTAGTCTCCGAGCAGACTTAGGATCAGTATAGAACCAGTTTCAGCCAGTTTTCGTATAGTATCAGTCCCTCGAGTGGACTTGAAGGTTAGTTTGACATAGGATAGGATCGTTTCAGTATCAGACCAGTTTTGACATCAACTTTGACATTATCGCACCGTATAGGATCAGCAGCACCACTAGTTTTCATAGCCCCACATTTTCTCTCAACACCCCACCCTCAGCACCTCGTTCCACATTTTCTTTCGACACACGCCATCTCCACTACATTTTCTCATCGCCTTGTTTGCCCATAGACTATTGCTGACCATTTAGTCTCTCTACCATCGTTCACCCTGCACAGATTAACGTCCAGCGATGTTTTCTAATCTCATCGCACATTTTCTCATACGGATTCATGGTAT